GCTTGTAACACTTGTAACACTCCAAAGAGAAAGGACAAATTGAAATCGCATCATATGACCCCTTTAATCGAATAGCGTTTATAATTTATTTTAGTGAATAACAAGGGGCATTTCAAACTTCAGCGTCCTTCCGGATCTTGTAAAGTACGGATTTACGCTCCTACCTACTCCCACAAATACGGAAATAGCATCAAAACAAACAATGGTAAGTTAATGAAACTCACACATTATATGGTTGAATAGTTGTGTTAAATGTTGAGATAGCTGTTGTTTGCGTAGGATTTCTAGAAATTAGTGAACGTTGGACATGAAAAATGGTGTGATCATATTTAATCCCCCGTTCAGGTAAAACTAGCGCAAGCAACAGAGTGTCCATTTTTAGACATACGCCCTATGCGTCTAGTAAGCCATACTTAGGTCATTTTTTTTTTATTTTATTTTTTACAAATAATGCATTCCATTCACAATAGCGTTTACATGCCTCTCCGTGAGCTCGTTTAAGCACATGGATTTCTCCCAGCCAATCAACAGATATCAGTCTACGTCACAGATAGTGACGCCATGGCATCTGACCAATCAGGAGTTGCCTGGGGCATTTCAAACTTCAGCGTCCTTCCGGATCTTGTAAAGTACGGATTTACGCTCCTACCTACTCCCACAAATACGGAAATAGCATCAAAACAAACAATGGTAAGTTAATGAAACTCACACATTATATGGTTGAATAGTTGTGTTAAATGTTGAGATAGCTGTTGTTTGCGTAGGATTTCTAGAAATTAGTGAACGTTGGACATGAAAGATGGTGTGATCATATTTGATCATACGCCCCGTTCAGGTAAAACTAGCGCAAGCGACAGAGTGACCATTTTTAGACATACGCCCGATGCGTCTAGTGAGCCATGCTTAGGTCATTTTTTACAAATAATGCATTATAACGTAGGACAATAGTATTTAATAGTGTATTGAATGTTGTCACAGGTTGATATAACATTATACAGTGATCCAGTGAAAAACTTAAGCCATTTATTGAAATGATCAAGCCATAAATAGTGAAATATGTGTAATTTTGGTCGGTTTTATGACCTTATAATAATTTTATTTTACTTAAATGGCATATATTGGTGTTTATTTGACTGTGAGACTTATTACTGCTAAAATAAGTGGTACCACCAGTACTTATAGTGCTATTTTTCACTTAATTAATGCATTATAATGTAGGACAATAGTACTCAATAGTGCATTGAATGTTGTCACAGGTTAGTGATTCAGTGGGAAACTTAAGCCATTTATTGAAATTATCAAGCCATAAATAGTGAAATCTGTTGAACTTATAACAGTTTTTTGTTATTATTATAATTTTTACTACTAACCCAGTTTATATTATTATAGCATATATTGGTGTTTATTTTACTGTGAGCATTATTACTGCTAAAATAAGTGGTACCACCAGTACTTATTTTTCACTTATTATTATATATTTACAGTGTATATGTCAATATTCTTTGTTTTCAGATATGCACTTTACTGTTACTGTTTTTTTTTATTCACAAATAATTCAAAGTGGGCTTGATATTGACTCAAAAACTTACTCACTTTTCTTTTGCAGCTGCCTACACCAACAGCTAGACCTGCAAGTACTGCAGCAGGAAGCAGAACATACTGAGGTCAAACATGGTCTACAGGGTCTGGAAGGTCCTCCCCGATTACAAACGGATTATTTGGTTGCATGTAAACGTAGCCAGTGATGAACGCAAGTGCTTTATCGAGTACCATGAAGCAAGTGACTGGAATTGTGACACGTGAAAAAGAAAAAAAAAATTCCTAAATAAAAAGAAAATAATTTCCTAAATAAATATACTATTAAGTTTATTTGTGACCATAGACTGGTGAGGAACCATATATGGTAACTTCATTGACCTTGATTTGCAACATTTTTTTTTTTTAAAGTCTCAAAAGTTCAAAAGCCTTGTAATAGCCTCCAATAACACTGCAGGGTTGAAATTTAGAATTTCCAAGTATTTCAATGAGTGCCCTATGAGTTAAGGGAAAACTCTTAGTTAATACTGAATATGTGTTCCCTATGCTAAAGTGTTACTGTGTTTTTTATCTTCTTTTTTTGAAAAGATGTTTTGTCAGCTGAACAGTCGACATGTTGTCGAGTCACATTTATTTATATAGCACTTTATACAATACAGATTGTTTCAAAGCAGCCTCACACCATAAACAAGAAATCAACAACAGCATTAATATTGCCAAGTTCTTCAATTATGAAACAAATACAATTGCAGGCGTAAAACAGCTCTAAAAAGACATTAGTGTAATTATTCAGCTCAGTTTAGTTTAATGTTGATTCAATTTAGTCCAATAACAGTACAATCCATTGAACACGCTGTACTTCTGTCCCTCACAGCCTCCTCTCCCTCATTCCTGACAAACATTAAAAATGGCGCTTCCTGACTCATGGCAGAATTAATTTTGGGGTGAACTGTTCCTTTAAGAGCAAGGAAAGTTTTTATTCTGTTGCCAATTATATGGACAATCGAGTCTTCTATGTCTTAGTGAGTGATTCTGTTTTCTTTTGTCTCTCTCTTCTTCTTTTTTAATGTATTCGCTCACCCTCTCTATGCCTTTATTTTTTTCTTCTTCTCCATTGGTTTCTTTGAGGCTTGGTTTGGGTCTAATGGCTGTGCGGAGGGAGTGAAGATGATGTCATGGTTTTCTTTCATTTTTTTCCTACCATTTTTAGTCATAGAAACTGCTGAGGGTGGGGCATACTGACACACGCACTAGTTTTTAACATCCCCCTCATTTTTGACCTTCTTTAGCCCAACTAAGGCACACAACTGGTAATGCTTCATAAATGAAGATGTGAGATATCAGATACGCCTCGTCCACAAGCACCACTGATATAATGGCTTGCTGGAAAAAAGGACAAAACTGTGGTAAAATGGCCATTGTGAGATGCCAGTTTAAAGTTTGCTTAGTCAGAGCTCTTGGCTGCAAACGTAGGAACGCCTCTTGAGTTTAAGACGAATGCAGTGACACGGTAAAGGCCCATAGTAAAATGGCAAGCACTCATGGTCTTCAGTGGTCATTGCATTTTTAGTGCTTTCCTCAAGCTAGAGTAAATTGAAAAGATTCATGGATTTTTTTTTTTCTGAGAGATTCTTTATTTTTCTAACTATAACATCAACACTTCCTTTAAAAGTGAAGTGATTAGATGTTAAAATACTTTATCTTATACCAGCTTACTATGCAGAGACAACTGTAATGCAGCCTTTATGGGTTGATTTCCTTAAAAACTATAAATACTCTGGCTCTGCGACTCTATGAGAGCATTACTCTGTTTGCTAGAACATCCCAGCCTACCCAACACAATAACATTGGCTCAGCCGATGGGGTGAGTTTGGGGCAGGGAGATGGCAGATGATTGGGGAAACTAGGTATTCTTTTAGCTACTCCATTTAGTGATGCTTGTGTCACAGAAATTACTCACTTCACCTTTATATAATACGTATACTGGATAAGAGAAAATTGGAATTACATTATATGAATTGTTAAAAATATATGCAGATGATTAAGCACTAGACTTAGTCTAGAGGCAAGTATAAAAAAATACTTCCTAGAACCTAATATTTGTGTTTTGTTTTTTTATGTGCATTTTTGTTTTATTTTATGTTATTTATTTTTAATGATCTTTATTAAAAATGCTTAATGATGTGCCCTGTTTTAAAACAGACTGTTCCATACAGGAACACCATGGCGGCAATCTTAAACGTTTCATAGGGGACCATTTTAAAGTGACAACCTTAATTTTGTGTAGATAAAGTTGAAAATTAAAAATAGATGTTTGTGGAAACATAAGCATTAAATTCTCTTTAAAAAAAAAAGCATATAGTTTTATGGTGTCTGGCTCAAGGTTTAATGTCAACCCTGTTATCTTTCTGAAGGTATAGTTGTATTCCAGCATGGATTCAAATAGTTTAATTTAGCCTGTGAGTAATGTCAACTTTAAGGTAAAGAGCAGTTTTTAAATCTACTCCATACTTTTTTTTACTATGTTCAGGGTATAAATGCACAAACATGCCCACAGAGTTTGCGCTCGCCTGTTTTTCATATATAATTATGTCCATCTAAAGCACACACACTGGGTGGATGTTTCTGGTGTACAAATAAATGAAATTTCCGTGCACCAAACACACACACACATGCGCACAGAGTAAACACAGCCATGGTGGGGGAATAAAGGTGCTTTTGTCCGGTGGGGGGCTGGGCCATCTGGAGCGCTCATGAATGTTCACTTCAGTCCGCTCAGACATCGCGCCTCCCTGTGTACTTTCACAGCTCCGCTAGAAGAGGACTGAGGCATGGGTGGGGTCGGGATTGGGCGGATGGAGACAGGGTGGGGCTTTCTCGCAGCCAGTGAGATCACTGGAACACTGCATGCATATGTGTGTCAGTGTGTGTGTCTTTCTCTGCCTGTAGCAGGCATGTAGTGTTTGGACTGCACTGGCTAGGCACTCGAACACCTCCGTCAGTCTCTGTTCTGAGAGCGGGAGGCAAACGCTGTCATCTGTTGGGTTCAGCACCTTCTACAAACACCCAGCACATTGTCTCACAGGGTTTCTTGCAGTACCAGCAGCTGTAATGTGTATGGTCCTGGTGTTTTTTGGGTTGGTAGTTAATTTCAACAGGTTTCTGTGGGTTCTGCTGTGAGGGGGGTGTTACACACAAAAGGTTCAGAAAGTGTGTCCTAACTACAGTCTCTCTCTCTGTGTTTGTCTGTCACAGTCGTCTGGAGGTGTGGTGGAGAATGACCCTCTCGGGGCTCTTCCTCCAGGCTGGGGTAAGTCCTCATTCATGCTTAATCTTCAGGTCAGCTGTCTTTTATGAGGTCACTGTGGGTTTGACGTTAACTTTAGTCGTAGAGAGAGGCCTATAATCTTTTAGGCCTAGGACTACTTAATATTTAAAACTTTAATACTACATTTACTGATAAATAGTAGAATTTGGTGGCTCGCTAAAATAAACGTAGCACCCAGCAGCAATAAAACTGTGTGCTCACAAGGAGTTGAACACAGAGGCCGAAACAGAGATGAAAGTAGATTTGCAGCCATTTTTCTCACAAAGCAGCTATGCACATCCATGTAGTAGAAAGGGTTAATGTAGAGGCAGCAGCAAAATAAACCTCAACAGGGTGATCAGGACCTGTCCGATCATTATCCCAGTTATTAATAAATAAATAAATAGCCATGAAATATAGTTTGGAGCTGAAATTAATGCTTGGGACTGTGGAGTGATACAAGTGACAGGGTGATACAACTAGCAGGGTGTAGGAATATGGTTGATAGGGACAGCGATCAAAAGTACAGAACATTTTGTGTTTCAGTATAGGAAGGCATTTAATACATAATTTTAATTATTACATTTATTACGGCATGTGCTTTTATTGTCAACTAATTAAAACCACACCTTAATGTAATTTGTTGGACACTTAAAATTAAAAATGTGTATGTATTCATATAAAAACAAATATTGGTTGAAGAGAAGTCGTATTTAAATGTTTCTTTCTGTTAAAAACGGTAAAGCTGCGTCAGTGCTTTCTTTCTTGAGAAGCTCAGTACATCGAGTTCAGCAGTATAACATTGCGAAATGGAGCTGGGAAATCTCTGTTATGAGAGGGTTAAAAAGGGGGGAAAATCAGAAAAAGAGAGTGTTGTGTGAGCAGTAATGTGAGGGCTACTGTGTGCTTTAATGAAAACAAGATGTTAGACGTGGAGTGAATGAGGGGGTTCTTGCAGAGGGCTGCGTCTCTCTTGTGTGGAAAAGCAATTGGCCAGCAGATTTTCTCTTCTCTTTTTCGATCTCTAAATCGTTACGGTTGCTTTCTGTCTGTTGAAGTCTGTTAAACCCAATTGAAAAGCTGAAAAGTGAAATTCGAGAAGGTATGTTGGAGCAGGCGCTAGTGAGATGCCCCACTGACTCGTCAGTTTTCAGTCAGCTCTGTCAGATTTGACACTCACTTACCCATCAGCCTGTTGAGAGATAAACAGAGGATCACTTTAAATTTGATATTTTTCAATATGTAAGAGAATTGGTCAAGAATCAGTGAGTAACATAAATTGAAAAAAGAGCCCTACAGTAATTTTGTTAAAAAGAATAATGTAACCGTATACGTGTTGTAATGCATTTCCGACCATTCTGCCAAATAATATGTATGCTGAAAATGTTACTATTTCTTTTCTTTCTCTCAGAGAAACGTCAGGACAATGGAAGAGTGTACTATGTCAATCACAACACTCGAACGACGCAGTGGGAGGACCCTCGAACCCAAGGGTAATCATGTCCTCCTGTCATGTGTCCCATGCGGCCCACAGCAAATGATCTGCAGATTCAAGTGGAGTTTGTCAGAGCGCTCTGTGTGTGTGTGTGTGTGTGTGTGTGTGTGTCGTTTAAGCGTCACTTTACCAATGTTGGGGAAGTTACTTTGAAACTGCAAAGCTACGAGCTGCTCATACTTGAGCTACAGTTGAGCTACCCTTTTGAAAATATAGTTGGCAACATTACAAGTTACTAGTGAAAAGGTAGCTAGCAACGTTAAAGCTACATGCAGTATGTGACTCAAGCAGTGTTTTTCATCTGGCACACATGACCTGTCTCAAATATTTAATTTTATTTTCATCTGGAGCTGAATAATGTCATGCCATGTAATGTGCCAAAAACAGCTGCAGTGCAACTTGTCGGAAAAGTGGGCAAGAGTTGTCTAAAATTGGCAGTTATAATCTGATTGGCTGATTGGCCTGCTACCTCAGGATGCATGTTTCACCACCCACTTGGAAACCAAGTCCTGTTTGCTGTCAAAATAAGCTCTTCTGAGGAAGTCTGAGTTTGTCTGCAAGTACTCTTTCTGATGTCAGGTTTGCCCACTCCTAAATATGGCGTAACCAACGAACTGCCCTTTTTATGCCTAGCTCTGTAAAACTACTGTGAAAGCGGAGTTATTTTTAAGGTAGCTGCGTTAGTTGCTTTGTGTAGTTGCCTGCTCAACCAAAATGAATACCACACATTATCAAAACTCATCCACTTAAGCTGCAAAACATTGTTTGCTCATTTTAATTTTGACATTTTGTATTTGTTCATTGCGTTTTAGATTTGACTGAACAACATCATGTTATGTAGTGTTAAGCGTCCAGCAGGGTGCGCTGCTCTCACTGCCCTCCTCCGTTTGCAGGATGATCCAGGAGCCGCCCCTGCCGCCGGGCTGGGAGATGAAGTACACGGCAGAGGGGGTGCGATACTTTGTGGACCACAATTCTCGCACCACCACCTTTAAAGACCCTCGGCCAGGCTTTGAGTCGGGGTAAACACTATCACACGCTATAGCTCAGATTGCATGCTTTGATTGTATGTGAAGGCAGGAGCTGTTCATTCACTGCAAACAGAGGAACAGACAGATGCAGTAGATCAAGAACCCACTAGGGACAGCAGATGTTTAATGCAGTGTAGGTGTATGACACATGCTAAAGTTTAAAATTCATATATATAATCTATATGTGCACTACCTGTCATTGTTCCTCCTATGATTTTAGATGTTTTTTGAAACAAGTCTTTAATGCACACCATGGCTGCATTTATTTGATCAAAAACAAACAAACAAAAAAAGTATAATTTGTGAAATATTACAATTTACAATAGCTGTGAATATATTGTAAAATGTAATATATTGCTGTAATCAAAGCTGAATTTTCAACATCAGATTCGTTCTAATATGCTGATTTGGTGCTAATTTATTATTAATTATTTTTGGTGCTCTGTTATTAATAATTGTTCTCATTAGTATCAATGTTAAAACTTTTTTGCTGCTTAATGTTTTTGTGGAAACCATGATCTTTTTTTTTTTCAGATGAATATACATTTAAAAAGAACAGCATTTATTTGAAATCTTTTGTTACATAATAAATGTCTTTACTGTCACTTTTAATCAATTTCATACGCCCTTGCTGAATAAAAGTATTCTTTTCTTTTTTTATCTTACCTCAAACGGTTTCCACAAAATATTATTCAGCGAAAACTGTTTTCAACATTGATGATAATCAGAAATGTTTCTTGAGCAGCAAATCAGCATATTAGAATGATTTCTGAAGATCATGTGACACTGAAGACTGGAGTAATGATGCTGAAAATTCAGCTTTGATCACAGAAATCAATTATTTTTAAATAGAAAGTATTTATCTTTGAATTGTAAGAACATTTTACAATATTACTGATTGTACTGTATTTTTGATCAAATTAATGCATAAGCAGAACAGAAGAGACTTTTTCAAAAACATTAAATAATCTTAATTATTCCAAACTTTTGACTGGAAATGTATAATTTGTTTATACTGTATGTCCTCATACAGAATATTAGTGTTATTTTTTTCTTTCTTTGTTTCTCTCAAAATCTCCTTTGTGTCTTTCATGCATCTTTTTGTTGTCTTAAATGCTTCATTCCTCAGAGTTTCCCTCTCTCTAAAGTGGAGTGAACTGTCTTGTGCTTGTTAACACAGCTGTGCAGCTCAACACAAGACACCCTGTAAATTACAATGCTTTCTCTGATCTGCATCGCACACTCTGTCTTCAGTGATGTGTCACTTTGACCTGTTTCTGGAAGTTGGCTGACTTTATTCTGCCAGTTGTCCTGTTTTCATTGCTCATGTCCGGGGAAGAGCTTATGTTGACCTGACGTCTGTGTCAGCGTCTGAAGCGCCACACTCATGGAATAAATGACATCAGGATGTTCTCATAGTGCTTTGGCTTTATTTTCTCTGTCTTCCTGTTTAGCTCAAGACAGGGTGGCTCTCCGGGTGCGTACGACCGCAGCTTCAGGTGGAAATATCACCAGTTCCGCTTCTTGTGTCATGTGAGTTGTTCAGGTCTTGAGCTAGCGAAGCATTTTTGTGATTTAGCATCAACAAATTAAAGTATGGTCTCCTAATATTTGTCTTTTTATGCAGTCCAACGCGCTGCCCAGTCATGTGAAGATCTCCGTATCCCGACAGACTCTATTTGAGGACTCATTTCAGCAGGTGAGTATACTATACCAGTTCAATACGGATGCGGTGTAGTGCTGCTCAACTTTTGTCCGTTGACGTTTCCATTATAATCACCAATACTGTTTTACCAATGTCATTTAAAGGAAAATTAGCAAACAATATTTCTCTTTAATTTATATTGATAATATATTATCAGCATTATTTAAAGCAATAAGCCCCGTAAAGCCGTGGTTTACAGTGAATTTATAACAGCTAAGGGGCGTTGTTAGGTACGACGCAAAGCCAAGTGACTAAAAGCCCCTTAGCTGTTATAAATTCACTGTAAACCATGGCTTCATGGGGCTTATTGCTTTTGTAAAACGGTTATTCCATATACATAGTATGGTTTCACAAAATAAAACAGAGCAAATCAAGTGTAATGATATTAATAAAAACAGTATTCTTCCACCAAACAATGTAGTTCCTCAGAAACAGTTGTGGTTGCAACAAAGTTGTTGCCAGGCAACACACAGAAGTAAACAAAGGTGTATGTTTGTAGAGTAATTTACAACAGCTTTGAACATGGCTCAACCAATCAGAATCAAGGACCGGAACTATCCATTATATAAAATTATATTACTAATGACAAACCAAATTGATCTCCAAATTATGGATGTCTTAATTCAAGGCCAGTTCACACCAAGGATGATAACTATAATGGCAATGATAACTGTGAATTTTTAATAATCATTCTAATTTTATAAGAACAGGGAAGTCCACATCACAACTATAACAATATCATTAGAATCACTTTCAAAGCATTTATATCCAGCGGATGAATTAGAAAAACATTGACAGCCAATCAGAATCCACATGACTTTAAAGAGATTGAGCATTCAAAGCGGCAGATGACAAAACTGCACTGCGCGCTTAGAATAAACAATGTTATTGTCCACTGGTGTGGATGCTAATATAGTTGTAGTTAAAGTTATCTTTATAGTTGTCATTCTTGGTGTGATCGGACCTTTAGGCTAATATAATTTTAGTTTGACCTCCTGAGGTGGACAAGCAACATTTCTGAATAATATTTTCACACTTTATAATGAAAGTCCCGTGGTGTTTCCTCTCAGATCATGAACATGAAGCCGTATGACCTCCGCCGGAGGCTCTACATCATCATGAGAGGAGAGGAGGGCCTGGATTATGGAGGAATAGCCAGGCAAGTTCATTATGAGCTCCTGTGGCGTCTCGCTGTTCGTCATCCTCATGTTCCTGCTCGTGTGCTGAGTGTTTCTTGTTTCGGGGAAGCTGTGGTGTAACTTTGCTCGTTGGTGTCTGGACCTCGTAGTTGTCTTCCTGTGTCTGTGTCTGTCTCCTGTGTCCTGTCAGTGGTTTTACCCTATGGTAGGTTACGTCATGCTGTTCTACCACAGGGTAGAACCACGGACCGGATGTCTGGAGGTGTCTGCGTCGTCCTGTGGTGTGACAAAACCACCCCCACCCCCCTAAACCTTCTGACCTTCCAAACAGCCCTGGGGTCAAAGGGCAGGGCTTGGGTTCTGTTGTACTGTTTATGATTTGATGTGTGTGTGTGTGTGTGTGCTGTTGAACCTGTCTTCATCTTCATCACTTTATGTGGCACTTGCACTGTTTTTTTACATGGTAAGTAAGCTGAAACTGCACTTCATTTCAGTTTATTACCTTTAATTCTTACTTCAATAGAATCACTGTCCATCAAATTGTGTCTCATTTGTTTTTCATTTTTAATAATTGTTAAATGTTTTGATTCCATTGTTTTGTCATAATTGTTATTTTTATTCAGTTGTTTTATTCTACAAAAGATTCATTTTATTATTTGTGGGTTTCTCTGTAAATTTGTTTTCTTTTGTTAGCTCCCCTCACAAGTGGCTCACAGAATGATGATGCCTACATATCACTTTCTTTACAAAACTAAAATTTGTAAAAAAAAAAATAAAAAAAATCACTATTTTTTTTAAGGAATGAGTTGGAGTGGATGGTGAAGGAAAAGCAGCCAAAATGTGTCCAGCATACACAGAAAGTTTATGCTTTTTAAACAATACTGTGTTTTAAAATATTCCCAGGATGCACCTCGTGAAGTGGATTGAAAGAATGTACAGAGTATGTAGTATGTAGAGCTGCATGTTGGCTATTTGATACATTTTTATCACTTTACTGCTGTTCTAAAATGTGGGAGATATTATTAATTAAAATAAATAATGAGAAAGTTATGACAATGTAAATTAAATAATTCCAAGTTGGTGTTTCCTTTGCCATTGTTCACATTGTTATGCGAGTTGTCTTTTCTTTCCCATTACTCTTATAAGTAGTTGCTTCATAAATCATTCCTAATTTATACTAATAAACTCTATTACAAATACAAAAACCATTTTGATTTGTTAGCATCCAAAGAATTCCCCAAACTATCTTTATTCTTGCGTAATTTGCGACACAGTGTATGTATGGTCATCTTTAGCTGGTATTGTTATGTTACTGATGTTATGTTTTATATTTCTGTCTGTAGGGAGTGGTTTTTCCTGCTGTCTCATGAGGTGTTGAACCCCATGTACTGTCTGTTTGAGTATGCCGGGAAAAACAACTACTGTCTGCAGATTAACCCTGCTTCTTCCATCAACCCCGACCACCTCACCTACTTCCGCTTCATCGGCCGCTTCATTGCCATGGTGAGAACGCCATGTAGTCATGTGGACTAGTAGTTTCACTCTTAAATTAAATTAAACTCTGCTCTCTTTCAGACTGCATTTCTGGGAGCAATGTATTTCTGTGTGTGTGTGTGTGTGTGTGTGTGTGTGTACCTGTTTTTCTATTCTGGTGGGGGCTTAAACCTGAATACACACAGACTCATGGGGACTCATGTCACGGTGGGAACCTAAATTGATGTCCCCACGGGTAAACATGCTAATAAATCACACAGAATGAAGTTTTTTGAAAATCTAAAAATGCAGAAAGTTTCCTGTGAGGGGTAGGTTTAGGTGTAGGGTTGTTGCAGGGCAATAGAGTATACGGTCTGTACAGTAGAAAAACCATTACGCCTATGGAGAGTCCCCACAAGGATAGCAAACCAGACGTGTGTGTGTGTGTGTGTGGTTGGGTATGAACCTCATGGCATGAGAATTAAATCATTATGTTTTGATAGAGTGACTGGTCTTATATTAAGATCTGGACAGAGCACAAGCAGTTCCTCTCACACCCTTTTAAGAGCAGTTAACATTCTCAAAGATATTATAGAGATTCCCTATGCTGCTGTGTGTTACTTTTTTTCCCTCAGCCCTTGTGTTGCTCCTGATTTGTGCCTGTTCTGAATAGACTGTGAGACTCGGGGTGACTGTGTTTTTTTTGGAGATCATTCCTAGAGCTCTGTGCTGTTACATTAAACAGTATGCTTGCCAATAACAACAAATCACATTTCTATGTGTTTTCGAAGTCTGTATATATAGAGAGAAGAGAATTTAAGAAAAAGCGAAATAGAGTGTTAGATGATGTAACTCTAATTCACTAAACGGTTGTGCCACTTGAGTCAGCATGCAGTGTTTTTATTTGTATACCTTCAGTCCAGATAAATCTGGTGCTATATGGATAATTATATGATAAGTATAGCAAAGCTAGTCTAATGACACTTTAGGAAAGCACATAAAAATCATGACATTATTCATGATTTCTTAACTCTCCAGAGGAGAGTTTTCGTGAAGGTCCATTTCATGTGCAAATTACTGTGAATTTACACATATATTTATGAACGTTTCATGATTTTAAGATTATGGTCAGATGATACAATCACCAACATTAATTTTTTATGCAGATACATTCAGAAGCAAGATACAAATGTCCAGTATTAGTTTCAAAACTGTTCCAGTCAGAAATCATTATTATTTTTTATTTGTTCAGTCTGTTTAGTGTTATGTTGTTTCACAGATCACTAATGATAGTGAAGCATTTGTAAGACAATGTTATGGTTTCCTTATTGAAGATTAAACTGTTATTGCATCCATTTCTGTTACCATGACAAACATTTATTTATGGTGACCGTTAAAATGTGTTACAACGATACGGCAAAATTGCCTTAATGACTCTTGAAAATGGGCTTGATAGAATTCAAAACATGTAATAATAATGCTTAGAATAGCCAACAATTCACCCTCCAGCCATGATGTCACACTGTAATTAAAGCACTGAGAACAGCGTATGTGTGAAATTTTGCATGCTGCAATAATAATAATAATAATAATGTTGTTCCTAAATTTAAACAGGAAATTGGATGAAAGTCAACTGTTAATTATCCATGACTGATCAGTTGATGAATCTCTAGTTGATGCATGACTTTTTTCATGGATTTGTTCTTGAAATTAATTTTAAAAGTAGAAGTATGCAATGTGGTCCTAATTAATGTGAACTCATAAAATCTGCATTCATAATAAGAATAATAATAAGACTAATAATTTTACAATAATAATTCTAAAAGATTTAGCAAAATCCATTTTAAATTAGATTTAGAAGGCCATGTGACATTCCCAGAGGTATGGAATTAAATCAAAATGAACAGTTCTATTTTTATGGAATGTTGCAGTGGTTATTATAAATTATCCATGAACATTATTATTTATTATTATTATTTTTTATTTTATTTTTTTATATGTGCCCTCATGATCTTAAACAAACACATTAATGTGCCCCTCACAACGACATCTCAGATGATGTGCATATCTGCACAAAGACTGGGCAATAAGGTTGTTTAATAACCATACGAGTTTTATTCCCTTCCCTTCAGTACCCTGTCATATATCATAATAGGGAAGTGCGTCCCAATTCGCATACTTATGCACTATTCTGTGCTGTTTTGTAGTGTAAATAGTGTGTTCACACTGAAAATTCCAAAAAGAAAAAGTGCACTTTAAATACCCGAATGATGCACTTAAATAACCGAAAAAATGAAGTGTGGAATGTTGGACACTTCATGCACTCAACTGTTGCAGATTGAATTATGCAGCGGAGGGGGAGGGGCTGTCAGACTCCGGTTATGAATGACAAAATATCCTTATATAATTCAAACACTACACGGTTGAGTACAGAGTAGAAGTGTATAGTGCGTCATTTGGGACAGAGCTTATAACTACCATTATTTGTATTATGGCCTTTGATTGGCTCTCTGCAGGCACTGTATCACGGGAAGTTCATTGACACGGGCTTCACTCTACCCTTCTACAAGCGCATGCTTAACAAGAAACCCACCCTCAAAGACCTGGAGTCCATCGACCCTGAGTTTTACAACTCCATCATGTGGGTCAAGTGAGTATCAAGACTGCAGCTCTGTTCATGAGGATGTTCTGTGACAAGCACGTGACATTCGTGCTGATGTGCGTTCACAGAGAGAATGATTTGGAAGAGTGTGGCGTGGAGCTGTACTTCGCTCAGGACATGGAGATTTTGGGCAAGGTGACGACACACCAGCTGAAGAACGATGGAGAAAATGAACTCGTCACTCAGGACAACAAGGAGGAGTATATTAGGTACAGCTGCCCCATGTTTAGATGATAACAGTTTTACTGGCCAGTTAATCAGACTCCTTTATCCAAAGAGGTGTAATAACAGGAACTCTCCTTAAAGATGAAGTGTGTTTTTTTTTATGTTAGAATACTTGTATTCTAATATACTCCTATTCTTATATACTCCTATTCCAGTTTAACATGCAACTCCACTTTACGAGTCTGTCGACTGTTCGAGAAACCTGTTTGAAAACAGTCATTTTGCAATTCTGCTTTAACCATTAAGCCACAATCAACCTGATCTGTTCAACTTTTTCCTTTTTTGTGTCGTTTTAAAAAGGACTGTTCCTTTAACACAGTGATTTTAAGCTCATTTCATTCGTGTTTTTCCTGCAGTCTGCTCACTGATTGGCGCTTCACACGTGGGGTGGAGGAGCAAACGAAAGCCTTCCTGGATGGCTTCAATGAAGTTGTGCCTCTGGAGTGGTTGCGTTATTTTGATGAGAAAGAGCTAGAGGTGGGTGTTTTGGTATTTTTAGCAAGGACTTGGCATAAAATGTCATTTAAAAAAAACCTTGTCTATACAGAGACACAAACACTAGTGGCATCACTGAGGAAACAGATGTAAATAACTCTGGTTTTGGGCTCTGAGGTTAAGTTTGGACTTGTTTTAGGCGTATTGATGTTATCTTTATCAGATGGTTAATGGTGTGGGATTGTTTCTTGCTCCAGCTCATGTTGTGTGGGATGCAGGAAATTGATCTGAATGACTGGCAGAAGAACACCATCTATCGGCATTATACCAAAAACAGCAAGCAGATCCACTGGTTCTGGCAGGTAATTCACACCTTCAGTCTCAGGTGTTTTTATGCACTCACAGCTACGCTCTTCCTCCTTTCTTTCTCTTTTTACTATATATATTTCATTATGTGTCACACAGGTGGTAAAGGACATGGACAATGAGAAGAGAATTCGCCTGCTGCAGTTCGTCACAGGAACTTGTCGCCTGCCGGTTGGAGGCTTTGCAGAACTGATAGGTAGAGTTATAATATCAGTTATCATGTACCACAGCCACAACAGACTCATGTGTCGTACAGTACAAAATGAAAACAGTGCATGCTATCAAGATGTCAGATATGTAGCATTTCATGCTTGCTGCTTTGGCTTTGTATTATATAGCCTATATTTTATATATTTTTTTATTTTATATTATATATTAATCACTTAGTGGTTTACAGAAGGAGGATTTGCAACTTTGAGATCATTAAACTTAATACAAATGAAAGGATAAGCTTGATATATTTTTGAAGTGTTTAGTTTTATTGGTGGCACTGTTCATGAATAGGTTACAAAATAAGGACTTTTGAGTCTGTGAAAGTCTTCACACCATGCAGCTTTGAGCTCTTTACATATGACCCGAAATGACTGGCAGAAGAACACCATCTATCGGCATTATACCAAAAACAGCAAGCAGATCCACTGGTTCTGGCAGGTAATTCACACCTTCAGTCTCAGGTGTTTTTATGCACTCACAGCTACGCTCTTCCTCCTTTCTTTCTCTTTTTACTATATATATTTCATTATGTGTCACACAGGTGGTAAAGGACATGGACAATGAGAAGAGAATTCGCCTGCTGCAGTTCGTCACAGGAACTTGTCGCCTGCCGGTTGGAGGCTTTGCAGAACTGATAGGTAGAGTTATAATATCAGTTATCATGTACCACAGCCACAACAGACTCATGTGTCGTACAGTACAAAATGAAAACAGTGCATGCTATCAAGATGTCAGATATGTAGCATTTCATGCTTGCTGCTTTGGCTTTGTATTATATAGCCTATATTTTATATATTTTTTTATTTTATATTATATATTAATCACTTAGTGGTTTACAGAAGGAGGATTTGCAACTTTGAGATCATTAAACTTAATACAAATGAAAGGATAAGCTTGATATATTTTTGAAGTGTTTAGTTTTATTGGTGGCACTGTTCATGAATAGGTTACAAAATAAGGACTTTTGAGTCTGTGAAAGTCTTCACACCATGCAGCTTTGAGCTCTTTACATATGACCCGAGTTCTGTCCTCATTGTACATATTCAATGTTGAAAAGTGTAAATAGATTTAATAGTTCATCTTTTTATGATCATGTTGTTTAGGAAGTAACGGGCCACAAAAATTCTGCATAGACAAAGTGGGGAAGGAAACCTGGCTGCCTAGAAGTCACACCTGGTGAGACTCTAAATCTGGAAGACAATTCGAAAGAACTGTTTTCACAGAAGTGTTTTTGTGCTTATTTGTCCCTCCTGCCTTACAATTTCAGCTTTAATCGTCTGGATCTGCCGCCCTATAAGAACATGGAGCAGCTCCGAGAAAAACTTCTGTTCGCTATCGAGGAAACTGAGGGATTCGGCCAAGAGTGACGAGACTGATTATATCTCGGCATGCGAAGGACAGGACCGACACAATAATTAACCAGTTTCTTTTGAAAAGGCCATTAATGTAGACTGAATGAACAGACTTACAGTCTGTCAGATTTACAGTTCAATCATTAGTTTACCTAAAAATGAAAACTTATTTTATTTATTCACCCTCACATCATTCCAAACCGATATGCTGTTATTTTTCTGTGCAGCACAAAAGAAGAGTTTGGAGGAATTGATCGCTATGATTTGTTGTTGTACAGAAAAGAGCTGCGTGACGATTCTTCAAACTTCAACGTTTGTGTTCCACAGAATAAATAACAGCGTGCTCATACGTAATGTCATGAGGATGAGCAAACAACAGCTTCATTTTTGGGTTAACTATACTTTTAAACAGCAAAGACGCTGATGGACCAGCAGCAGATAAATGATTTGTCTGAATGTAATATTTCATTTGGTCACTTCAGGGAATGATGATTTCACCTTACATTTCTATGCAGATAAAACAGTGCAAATTATGAAACACTTCACAGCATAATGTCATTAACCAGATTTGTAAATCAAATTAAAATGAATTCCCTGAACTGCCTAAATCAAAATGTAATCAATCCTGATTTTCCAGTGTGAGGTGAAATTCTCAAACTCACTGCTTATAATGCAGCATCCAGTACAGAATTATTACTACTACTAATAAAATAAACCGCAGCGAATCTTCAGTTGCAGATGTCATGGACCACAGAGATGGGGCTCGTGTCATATCAGTGTGTGTATATGGACTAGAAGACCACTGAGATAGAAAATAATTGTTTTAAAGAGATTGATCAGACATGATTTCATTATTTTGTGACATGCCATGCTACACTGTATATAGATGAAATAAAATCCAGTCATGGACTGTAAACATAATCTGTGGCAGAAAAATGATGAATAATGATGTTGACAGGTAATAGGGTGGTTCTTTAATTAATCGTTTAATAGTTTAAAAATCACGTTCAGTTTATTTGGTATTTTTTATAGCAAGCCATTGCTGTCCCTAATGCTGCTGTCATTACTACCATCTCAACAAGCAATTAAATTTAAGTTTATTTTCAAGTTTATATTTAATTATAATGGAAATGAGAAGATGGAGCACATTTCTGCCTATGCAGTAGAGTGACCGTTTGAAGATATGAAATTTGCTGAATTTACCATAAGTTGTGATTTCCATAATTACTAAAGGACAATTGACTCTGAACTCTAACGTCCTCAGATTTGGAATTATGTGTTTCTATGGCAACACTATAAACACGGAAATTAATCCGTGTAATTTGAGTAATTAATTGACTTTAAACAATAGTAATAAATAGAATGTTTAGAATGCCATAGAATTCCAACATGGCATGAATGCACCTTTTAGGATTTCTACTTTCTACTCAGAACAGCTTTATTGGGTGTCACTATCAAAATAAATAAAATAAAATCATGCATTATTCCAATGTTAATTTGAAGGCTGATCAAGGCCATTATCTTTGCCACTATATTTTGTTTTTAGACATGATAAATGTTTTAACACATGAAATATCATTTGAAAAAGTTTTTTTTTTGTTTTTTTTTTGAAGATTTTGATCAGAAGTACCCTTATTTTCAATTTCAGGTTAAATATTCAACTGCTGACTTTCGGAGCAGCAATCTGTAATTACTGGAAGTGCTTATGATGAAATTCAGGATTTTAGTTCATTATACAGTTAGTTCATTTTAGTTCATTATACAGCACAAGTTATGTTCAGCTCAACAAAATATGTTCAACAAATGTTGTTTTGTGGAGAAAAACTTGCTCATAAACCATAATGATAACCGTAATGTGAATGAATCACTCTTTTGATCATTCTCAGCTTCACGGAGGGACATGGCCCACCCTACCATCCACCTGTTACCCCAACTGTCCAGTCCAGTCGTGTGGCCCACTTTTCTTAGATCTGAAAATGTATTTGTGATCAATATGAATGAACGATGCATTTATATAGCTATTGTGTATTGGGGGGGGGTGATGCGACGGCAGCCAGAGTACAACAGCACCAGTGCGCTCACCACACACCAGCTACAGGTGGAGAGGAGAGAGAGTCATAGAGCCAATAAAGTGGATGGGGATTATTAGGAGGCCATGATAGACAAGGGCCGGGGGGCAATTTGGCCAGGACACCGGGGATACACTCCTACTCTTTACGAGAAGTGCCATGGGATTTTTAATGACCACTGAGAGTCAGGACCTCGGTTTAACGTCTCATCCGAAGGACGGTGCTTGTTGATAGTATAGTGTCCCCGTCACTACACTGGGACGTTAGGACCCTCACAGACCATAATATAAATGCCCCTTCACTGTGTGTGCTCGGGCGCCGACTCAGAAGTGCACTCAGAAATTCAGAAGGGTGGTGCGATACAGAGGAAGGACCAAACCTGTTTTAAGTAAGATGACAGGGTCTCTGTATTAAAGAAGGGGGCTCTGGCCTTTACCACCTCCCTCAGGGGGACAAATGCATCGAATCTTAAGTGTAAAGAACTGTGTAATGTTAAAATAAAAAAACTGAATTGCAGTCCAATTTATAAATTTGATGTTAGCTGGCAGAACTATGTCCTGACAGCTCTTTATCCTCAATATATAGTTATTTTTTACAAAAATTAGCCTGTGGATATTCTAATATTTAAATGACATTTATGTAAAGTGCAAAAAATCTTTTACATTTCCATGCTCACTTGATTAATAGCTTAAATCAACAAGTTCGAACCTCAAAAGTGTTCACAGACGCAACATAGAATATAGCCATATGGAACCAGAGCTGGGTAGATTACTTACAAATTGTAGTCTGTTACTGATTACTAATTACATGATGAAAACTGTAGCTGGTAACGTAATCTGGGTTATTCATTTTAGCTAATGTAATCTGACTACTTTTTAGATTACTTTTAGAGTTACTTTATCAACCTTGTTTTAAACTTACCATTAAACGTGCCATATTGCTATAAAAAGGCAAAGAGAGTGAAAATGTATTCCATTTTTTTATATCAACATCATAACATGCATTAAACATTACATTACACCAGGGTTTCCCAAACTGGTCTTAATGTAAGAACTGCAGTAGGTTTGTGAGTTGATAAAAAGCTAATAGTTAATTAAATCATGAAAATGTAAAATAAATATAAACACCTGAACACTAAACATAGGCCTACATATTTTATTTGTTTACCTGCATGTCATGCATGTGACCAACCAACATGAGAGAACTGTGAACATGCGAATATCTTGTTAAATTATTTGAAACGGAGTTTCTCAGAGATATTTCAAGTAAGTATTTTATTTCAAGGGGTTTGCTATAAATCACCAGTGTTTAGTAACTTGCATAATTATTTTTTTCATACATAGTCTAATTGCTTGCGAGGCGCTTTTTCCCTCAAATTCAAAAGCATGGTTTGCAAATTTATTTACATGGCATTTGTGCATACAGTCAAAGCTAAATCGTATGACACAGGATTTTTAGAAAGGAATTTTAAAAAAAAGAATCAATAAATTATGAAAAATGTACTGCCATTGTGTGGCAATCATGTAATCCATAAAAAGTAACTAATCTGACTGTGAACATTTTACAATGTAATATACTGTAATTACAAGTACTTAATTTTTGGAATCTGATTACGTAATCCAGATTACATGTAATCAGTTACTACCCAGCACTGTATGAAACTGTATTGCCGATAAAATAATCATACATAACATATCTTAGCGCATTTATGAGAGACGTTTGTTTAGGGAACTTCACATGTGTGTTTGTTGTTTGTGCAAAATTTGTGCGAATCTTATTTTAGACTGAAATTGTAAAATACGATTCAAATGAGCTTTACTTTCAAGATTTGTAGAAACGCTGTGCTGTAATGCTGCGCCCTCTATCGAGCGTGTATGGGGACTTTTATTTTGAAATCCATATTCTACTCCTGCTTTGGGCGCAAGACTTCTGCCAAAGACACGAGAAAGCATAAGAAAAGCACATGACCCAATGCGTTTATATTTTGAATCCGTAACTCGCAAGAGCGTTTAACCAGGTTATCTAAGTGTGAGTATATTAATTATGCGTTAATAGTAATGTTGCAAAAACACATGGTCTCATCGTAAATGTCTACTGTTCATGCATAACAACCACAACAGATCATGTGGAGTCCTGATGAAATAGCCAGCTTGTGTTATAATCACTTCAATAAACTGCCTAAAAGAGGAAAGCCAGCGGCGGGCAGAGAGTGGACTCTACTGGCTGCTGTGATTCTACTGACTGACAGCTCGGAGCTGAAGACAGGTTAGCAACACTGATCAACTAAGATCATCTCATTAACACGATGATATAAAAACTTCAAATGTCCTGTTTGATCACAGTTCGCAAGCAGGTTGTGTCTTTGGGGACCGGCACCAAATGCATCAGCCAGTCTGCCATGAGTACGAAGGGTAAATGTAACAATTGCTAAACAATTGCTCAAATTCAAACCTAAATGTGCAACCCCATATATATATTTTTTTTATTGTGATGATTTGCAGGTGACATTCTGAATGACAGTCATGCTGAGGTTATTGCTCGGAGGGGATGTGTCAGGTAATTTATTTCATGTGTGACATTGGAATTTCATTGCATTATAAGTGATGCATTCACAAACAAAACCCCAACCATGCCTGAGATCCTGCTTTACAGTCCTTTATAGTTTACACATGCACACTGTAAACGTGTCTTGTGGGCATATTTGCATGATGGATTTATGTTTACCAATCTATATTTGTCTGTGGATTTCATATTTGTCAGGAGGATGTTATGTCCTGTTACCTGTGTTCTAGATGGCTGAAGTGTAATATATGGCTTGCTCTGAACATTTTACAAACCATTCCTAACATTCTCGCTTTCAACACGATTTGCATTTCTTTCTCTTTCTTTCTTTCTTTCTTTCTTTGTGTAAAATGTTACGACTTGTTTTCAGAGCATTTCATTGTTCTTACTCCAGTGACATTTTAAATCAATCTTTTGATAGTCAATTCATTATATAAGTTAAGTCTTATTATCTTATACAGTATTGAATATGTCTCAAGTTTTATATATATATTTTTATTTATAAACCAAGCATGAATGCATATTTCATTTCATACAACCGTCCTTTGAAATCAATAACAATATTCTAATGTGAGTTGTAAACAAACGTCATTTGTTAAGTCAAAAAAGGATTTGAGAGGAATAACAGAATTGAATTTAGTGATGTGTTTTTGAGTCTTTGCTCAGCCATCGCGATGTTTTTCATCCTCAGGTATCTGACGGAGCAGCTGTTCAGGGCCGTAAGCGGCCAGAGCTCTGATGTTGTCTGTCCTGGGTCTGAAGAGGGAAAATGGATAGTTAAACCGGGAGTTTCCTTCCTTTTCTTCACCAGTCAAACACCCTGTGAGTCCAACTACAGGTTAAATATTAAATACTGAATATTTATGTTCAATTAAAAATGTTTTTTACCAACGGTTTGTTGCCAGTCAAATGTTTGTTTACACATTCTCATTTTTTTATTACTTCCCATTTTAGAAAAAGTAGTCATCATATATTTGAATAAAAATGTAAAACAAATCAAAATGTTCAGTCAGTACATTTCATTATAGTTCAAGAATTCATACAAATATAAGGGATTAAAAAAAACATTTAGTACTGTCCTTCAGACATACAAACTGATCGTCAAGGAAGGATCACAACATAACATCGACAAGCAAGGGCTGTAAATTTATACGTAAATCTGTTATGTGAAATATCTTAATCTAGCAGTACAAAAAAATATATATATATATATATATGATCCCTCTTATTTTTCTTTTAAGTGATAAACATCTTGCAGTTTCTGTCAGGGGTATGAAAACTTATGCAGTGAGCTGCATATATTTAACAGCAGAGCTGGGTAGATTGCTTACAAATTGTAGTCTGTTTCCAAATTACATGACAAAAATTGTAATTAGTAACATAATCCATTAAATTACACATTGTAGGTAATATAATCATCAGACTACTTTTAGATTACTTTTGACCTACAGTAACTAGTTTATCACATTGATTTAAATCGGATAATCTTGTACCATATTGATATAAAAATCCAAAGAGAAAGAAAATACATACCATTCATTGTTATTAACAACATGAAATGCATTACATGAAAAACATTACATTATGTCAAGGTTTCCCAAAACTGGGGTTCCTGAGTTTAATGAAAGCTTATAATTAATTAAATTGTAAAAATGCAAAATGAAAATAAATCATTTTAAAATAACAACAATCAAAATAAAACACTTACTAAAAAGATGAAATATTTGATTTGTTTACCTGTCTAATTATTAACTGACTACAGTACTTTAAAATCTCATGAGTATGTCAAGTAAATATATTAGGTGAAAGAAGTTCTGCTGACAAAAACGTTTGGGAATCCCTGTATTACATGTAAATAAGAAATGACGTGAATTTGTGCATTTTAATGTGTTAAAAAGACATAAGCACAGAAAATGTACAGATGAAAAAGAAGAATTTGGGCGAATCAATAAATAATGAATAATTTATTGCTTTTGTGTGAAATCATGTAATCAATAAAAAAGCAACTGTAGTCTGATTTAGAGTATATTACAATGTAATATAATCTAATTAGAGGTATTTAATTTTTAGAATCTGATTACGTAATCCAGATGACATGTAATCAGTTACTACCCAGCTCTGTTTAACAGTTAGTACCAGTCCTGAGTGACCAATACACAGTACATTCAGTCCAACAGTACACAACAACAGCACTGCTGCTTGTGTATTATTGCTGATATGTTTATCTACTTATCAGTAAATACTTTGCTAATGCTTCCTTAGGTGGTGATGCCTCCATATTTCCTATGACTGGCAGTCAAGCGCAGCCCTGCGAACCAGTGAATGCACTCCAGAGCGAAGAATCAGAGCGACGAGGTCTGAAACGACACGCCGAGTGTGATTTGGAAGAGACCAGGCAGGGTCCAAGAATGAAGACAAGTGACAACCACTCATCTCGCAGAAAATCAGGGAATACCAGTGAGCATGAAGCTATAACAGAAAACAGAGAAAGTAGTCCATTAAATGAAGTCTTGCGCTGTCACCCGGGAGTAGAGAGAGCCCACCCGCCTGACCTCCATCGCACGGGGGCAAAGTGTGTCCCTGACAGCCCAGCCGACCCGCTCCAGCCCGGGTTACTCTATCACAGTGTTGGGGTTCTGCGGCTGAAGCCGGGACGTGGGGAGCGCACACTTTCTCTCTCCTGCAGTGATAAACTGGCCCGATGGGGCGTTCTGGGCTTCCAGGGCGCCCTGCTGTCTCATTACCTGCAAGCGCCGCTCTATTTCAGAGCTGTGGTGGTTGGAAAGTGTCCTTACAGCCATCAGGCAATGCAGAGAGCACTGAAAACACGGTAAGTGGATGTACCACACTAACAAACCTCTATTTCTGCAGTACAGGCAAAGTTTTAGGTTTGTAAAAAGCTGCTGATTTTCACAAAATTTGGTCAGTCCATTTCAAGTGGTCTAGTAGAGGTTGCTTGATCACGTAATTTTCCTTCTTTTGAGTGATTACCTCTATGTATTGATATTGCAAAATCACCAGTTTTTTATTTTCATTTTCTTGGTTTATCCAGAGAGGCTGTCTTCATGTAATGGCGCACAATAAATCTTGGGTATACAGCTGTTTATGGAAACCTAGTATGTTAGTTCAGGATGGTCCGAACTGCTTAGAACCAAAACTGATGCCTAGTACGCATTACAAGGTACATGAACATATATATGAACAGTGTTGGGGAAAGGTACTTTTAAAAGTAATGCATTACAATATTGCGTTACTCCATAAAAAAGTAACTAATTACGTTACTTAGTTACTTTTTATGGAAAGTAATGTGTTATGTTACTTTTGCGTTACTTTTTAAATCTGAACAGGGCTTGCTTGTTTGTTTTTAAAATAAAAAAGTTCGATTTTTGGCAAATATAAAAGCCTTTTCACAAAAGTGAAATGAATAAGCCTCAGGCTGAAGGAAATGTAAATTTAAGTCCGTACAGTAGAACGCAGAAGAAGAAATTTCAACACACTTCAGCAATAAAAAAAGACACAAATGTTTGTCTAGAGTAATTT